TCAATACCCAAAAGTCAATAGCATTCCTCTACACAGACAACAAACACACTAAAAGGGAAATTATAGAAACAATACCTTTTACAATAGCACCGAGGAAAATGAAATACCTTGGAATTCATCTAACTAAAGAAGTCAAAGATCTTTTCAAGGAAAATTACAGTACTCTTCAAAAAGAGACTGTAGAGGATTTCAGAAAATGGAAAGATATTCCATGCTCCTGGATAGGAAGAACCAACACTGTGAAGATGGCCATACTCCCACAATTGCTGTGCAGATTTAATGCAATCCCTATCAAACTACCACCAACATAACTCACAGACCTAGAGAAATCATTCCTAAAATTTATTTGGAACCAGAAAAGACCTAGAATAGCAAAGGCAATCCTGGGCGATAAAGTTAAGGCAGGAGGCATTACAATTCCTGACTTGAAACTACACTACAAGGCCACTATAATAAAATCAGCATGATACTGGCAACAAAACAGACCTGATTTTTGAAAACAAATTTTTTATTCCATGTACATTATCTTCCAGTTTCTAATTCTAGTCAGTCTTAGGTTGGTCTTCTCAGTGTCATCTAGTAGTTTTTAGATGCATTTTTCTTCTTCTTTTGTTGGTTTTTTTTCCCATAATTTTATTGAGAAACAAATAGCAATGAGACAGTTTCAAGTCAAACTGGTAGGACAGTTTCAATAATTAACACACTGCATACTCTCTTCCTAGTGGTTATTTGCTGTACAAGATGCAGACATGATAACCTATTTACAAACACTATTAGAACAAATCCCTCTATTCATTAAGAGAATGTAACTATATATCTACCCTAACCATTTTGAATACACAGATACAAAATGGATATTCGTCTGTATCCCCTTTTTTGTTTAGTTCTGTCATTTGAATATTATAGGTGTGTTAACTCAGCAAAATATTCTGAAAGAGTCCAATAGCCCATAATAGTATTGGGTCTTCTGCTTGACTGGCAATGTCAGAAATTGTTGACCTGAGTCCCCTACAGCTCAACATAACAGCATGGCTTTACTTCTTATACTTCATTTTTATACTTTTCTGCTGGATGGTTAAGATCAAGATAAAGCAAGACCTATACAACAGGAGTTGTAGCTTTTGGGTCTGATAAGGTCAGTCAAATCCCCTCAGGATTTATTCTGAGATCCTGTACCTCAGATTGTAGATCCTTTGTCAGTGTCAGCCATGTGGATGAGTCACAGCCATTGCTTGGCCAATGTGCTCTCCGTGAAAGCTTGAGAGAATGTTTTCTCTCCATGTGACTCTCCTGAGGAACAGTCTACATCATCAATCACTTTCCTCTTTGGCCCCATAATCTCCTTGATCAGAAAATTTGGGACACAGCTGAGTTACATGACGTTATAGTACAAGTTCTCATATGTCCTGAGTCTTAATTGACCTTGCAAGGCTAGGGTCAAAATGTTGGCTTTCCTTGCAGCCCTCCTTTTTCTCTAATTCTGGTCTGCAAACTTAGGTTGTTAACCATCCAGAAGACAAGCTTATTGTTATTACCATACAACCTAGGCTGTGAAGCTTAAGCTCACTATCTGTCTGAATATCAAACATTTTAGGCATAACATGGAACAGGTATTTTTCATCAAGTATTGATATGTTGAACTTTACGTCCCTAGAGAATATGATGAAAAAACATTTGAAAAATTAAAATGTATTTTAAAAGTAGGCATCAAGAATTATATAAATTTATGTTTACACATAAGTCCAGAAATCTAACCACATACAACCTTGAAGCAGGACAGTCCCACAACATTCCTTTTCCTGCCTCCTGCCTTCATTCACCACCCCCTTCTTTTTGAACAAGCATCTACCCAAGAGATAGCACAGCAGCAACTGGCATGTCATGACAAGCAGCCCATATTCACAAGACCAGAATGACAGGCACTCCAAGTATGTTCTTCTTTTGTTTTTAAAACTTTATCTAAACCTTGTCTTCTCATTAGTCATTTCTGTAATTTTGTTCAGTTTTTCCAATTTTTTGTTTATCCTACATTTGTCTTATTCTGGATACAACTCCATGAACTTTTGGGTCATGTCCTCTTTGGACAAGATTCTTTGTTCTTTAGTCAGTTCATAAAACTGTGCTCCGTGGTGACTGATTTCATCTCCATCAGTGCCCCTGAGACACTGTGTTGCCCCCATGTTCCTATGTACCTACTCATATCTACATATATTTTTGTGCTGAGGGCTAAGGTCAAGTACAGTGAGGACAGATTGCAGCCAGAATAAAGATATTTTTAGTTAGAGTCTCTCTTCTAGCCATACATTCATCCCTTTCCAGAGATATTGTTCATCCCTTCTGCTATTTTAATGGTTTGGACCATCTGTGTTATGATGAGAAACTTACTCTTTGTTACAGCAGCATCAATGGAACTGATCATACATCACTTATACCAGTTAAACCTTGCATTTACACTTTCACCCTTTATCAATAACCTGTACAGCCTATACTTTTGTATTATTAGCATTCTTTCTGTGGTGTGGAAGGAAATGGGAAGGGAAGAGATGGAGAAATGGGTGAAAGAGGAGTGTAAGTTAGGGGTGGAGAGGTACAAAGGAGAAACAATAATAGATAAAAATAGATTTGGGGTCAGATTCTGTTAAACGATTTGTTATAGTTGGAGTGAAGGCTTAAGGTTAAGGGTTTTCAGGATATATAGCAGGAAGGAGACATAATTTAAGATGGAGGAAAGCTGTGAGATGGTCACAACCTGTTGATGTATTTGCACACTTGTAAAGGATAAAAGAGACAAGGGAAGGCAAGGAGCCAAGTAATATAAGGAACAGCAAAAAGACAGAAGATAGGACTGACTGGTTAATATGAGATAAGATGGGAATATACAGAAAAAAAAACTTGAAAAGAACTTAAAAAGTGGGAGAAAAGAGTAAAAATATTTAAACCAGTCTTGCTACAGAAGCTAGAATTAAAGAAAAGGGATAAGGAGATGAGGAGACAGAAACAGCAATCAAAGTGGAAAAAAGTAACCAAAACAATTTGACAGGGATAACAGATCTAGCACTCTCATAACATCCACACAATTCCTTCATGACCACTATACCATAAAGCCCAAGTGTGCGCATAATATCCTTCTTGTCTTAGCTTCAGTCAGATTGTGAGCAGCCACACAGATTCTGCAGGGGCTGCATGGTCCTCTAGGCAGGAGGGTGGCTGGTTGTGCACTGTTGTTTTGGGGGGCAGGGCTACATGACGCTAGCTGACTCCTAATGGGTTGGGCATGCTTCGTTGTTTATTCTCTCTGGCCAGAGTCTGGAGGGGGAGGACTTCCCCGCAGAAGTGCAGCTTTCCCTGGTGTTTGGGGGTATATATATTGGCTGGGGAGATGGCTCAGTGGAATAAGTGCTTCCCTGGCAAGCGCAAGGGTCTGAGTTCAATCCCCGGTTCCATGAAAAAAAAAATCTATATATATATATCTTTCCCATTAATTTTCTGTTTCAGGGTGTAAGCCCCTCCAACACTTTTATTATCCGTGAATCCTCTGAGCATCTCCTATGTGACTCCTCCCATAGTCAGTCATGTTGAACTTCCTCTAAGCAGAGACTTTAGTGTCTACTCCAGAGTGAAGAAACTGCTGCAGATCTCCTAGACTTTAAGAACCCTTTAGACCCTTGTCTTCACGGTATGAAATGTGCTTTCCAGAGCTTGCCATCTTACAGTCAACTTGGAGGCAGTGAGGTGGACAATAAACTGCCCAGCTCCAGGGAGAACTGACAGCCCCAGCTCAGCTGACCACTGCAGTGCCCAAGTGATGGAAGCTGCCTTGGACAAATTAAGACAAAGAGTGGTTGAAGACCCAGTGCTATTGTCCCTGAAATCCCCAAGGCCGGTGAACCATGAGCAACATGGAGATGCCCCTGGAGATTCCTGAAATGCTGAACCAGTCACCATCTCCACCTTGCTATTTTCGTGTTGTGGCAGCTATCAGTAAAGGAGCTGCTTCCTCTAATGTTCCACTGAGCTGTCACCATGGCAGCTGATGTCCTGGTTGCCTACACCTACTCCAGATGTTTGCCTGCTAAAGCAGGCTTGAATTTACTCCAGTCCCAGTTGACACCTTGATAGGGCTGAACTTGGACCCATCCCCAGCGAAATGTACCAAATGTACAAAATAGCAAGGGCCCACTGCTGCCCCATGCAAGCTGCCCCCACACTCCTCAGCGTGACTCCCACACTGTAATTCAGGCCTGTCCCCTGCTCTTGCTCATGCTCATTTCTCAGAATTCCCCCAATATCTTTATCTTGGGTAGTGTGGCCAGAGCAGGTCACATTAAAAGGTACAATACTGTACTAGGGCTTATTGGCCCACAGATTCCAGAGACCAGCAGCAACAAATAAAGACCAGCAAAGATGGGTGGCATCAGCCAGCAGTGACTGGCATCATTGAGCACTGAACAGCACTGGTGGCCAGAAACAAAAGCTAGCAGTGGTGAAAACCACAGTTGTTAGGCTAGTGAGATAGCTCAGTGGACTAAGAGCCTGCTTAGGCAAGCGCAGGGACTGGGATTTGATCCCTGGAACTGTGCTATGCCAGCCTCACCCCCTGGGCACGCTGATCCACCAACTGAGTGCAGGCGTGGTGGTGCACACCTGTAATCCCAGCACTGGGGAGGCTGAAAACAGGAGGACCACTATGAACTGCCTAATGAGACCCTGTACCAAATACAAAATAAAAAATAAATGAGTAAATAAAAATAAACCCGTGGCTGTTGACTGACAGTGACAACTTTGTGGCATCTGGCAGAGACAAGTGGAGACCTGCAGAGAGCCCCACAGAAGCAGTAGGAACTTCTGGGAGAATCGCAGAGAGCTTCTGCTGCCAGGCCCTGATGGGGCAGCTGGGAGCTGCTAAGAGCCCTGACACTGACAGTCATGTGCCCGGAGCACAGAGCTGTAGCACAAGGCTGGAGAGCCTAAGAAACAAGCCAGGCTTCCTCCTGGCTTGCAGTAAGTTAAGTATATGAAATGCCTAGAGGTATCTGGAGCATGAGAGATATGCAACAGGAATCAGTTCTTCCACTCCTGTGGGTCCATGGGTCTCATATATTACATGTATTGTCAGAAGAGTAATTTGATACATTCGAGATTTTTCCAGAAGCTCACCATTTTCTTAAGTATACTGACCAAAAGGGGAAGGCAAGGGGAAAACATGGGCATGTTCTCTTCAGGAGCTCTTCCTTTCTCAGAGCTTTCAGCACCTCGGGCAGTTAGCGGTTAGGGCCTCATGCTGTCCACCACGGCTGAGATCATAGCACCCGCGGCCTTCACTCCTTCCACCAGGGCATGCTCCACCTGCAAAGCACATTGGTCAATGGGACAGTCCCTGCTTGTGTCCCCCTACCTCCACCCTACCATTTCCCTTCAGGAGCCAGCCTCCCTGGAGTCTTCTAGAGGAGCCAGCCTATGCCACCTTCTCTTTCCAAAGTCCTTCTCTTGCAGACCAAGAAAAGCTAGGATAATGAAGGCAGATCCCTAAAGCAGCCAGCTTCCTTTCCCTAGGAGGCATCTGGGGCTCCTGGTCCTTTTCCTTCCTCAGAGCCATCCACACAGGCTCTGCCCCCAGCACAGAGGCTCCGTTGTAGGTCTTCTATGAAGTATCTGTCTTGCCACTAAGGCCCTTATTTTACAGAGGGACTCTGAGCCTGGAAAATCCACTTGAACAGTGAGCTGACATCCAAACTCAGTTCTGGGTTGTGCCTTGTGGCTCCTGAGCCCAGGTCTCGCCCAATCATGTTCTAGAACCCTGGGTCTTCTATTCACAGAAAAATAACAGTGCTCACCAAGCCCCTGGGCTTGGTGTAAGGTCTCACAAGTGTGGTGAGTGGAGGGTTGAAAGCACTGAGGGGAAAGATGCAAAAGCAAAGGGGCATAGAGAGTGGGCAGAAGCTGCCCTTGCTCACTGAGAGGGGCACAACAGTAGTGGAAACACGAACAGTAGGGAGTCGAGTCCATTCACAAAGCTTAAGAAAAACAGTGGTGGATCCACAGAAAGATCATGGTCCACCTTTAATCCTCAGTTTCTTTCATCTATTTGCAACATACACTTCTTTTGCCCGTGGCATAGAGTTTTAACAAAGAATCCTCCATTAGCAAGGGCCACCACAACTGTTACAGATGCACAGGCTTCCAGGGCTCTTTCACGTGCACTGTGTATACCACATTTCGTTTATCTCCACCCTTGAGGGAGAAGAAAGGATCCTGGGGCAGCACAGATGAGCCTGGAAGGTATGAGTGAGGCAACGGTGGTCCACAGTCCCACAGCACATAGAGCTACAGCATGGCCTGAGAGGATCAGATGCAGGAACAGTGGCCTAATAGCCTGCTCTATTAGTCATTCAAGAAGAGCTGGTCATCTAGATCTTTTTCTTAAAATTTCTGTTGTTTAAAGTTGTTCTAGTAATGCAAAACAATAATAGTATACCTAGGATGCAGCCCACAGGATGCAAGATTACAACTTTTATGACAAAGTATTTACCTCCATCTATCTCCACTTTATAAAGGAAGAAACGGCCTCAGAAACAGCAACTTCACCAAGGGGACCACCCTTAGGAAGGATGGAGCTAGAACTCCAACCACGCAAGCTCCCTATTAGGCCAATGCCTTTTCTACTCCTCCATGGGAAAATGCCTCCTGAACCACACAGACCTGTAGGATTTCTAGCCCTCCAGCACAGCAAGCAACATGGTAGGACAAGTGATGGCTGGTCTGGTGACTGAGGAGTTGGCACCAAGAAAACTCCAGCAGAAGCCACACGCAAGACAGGGACCACACCTGCTGACTCCTGGACACTCCATATCTGAGGTTATTGACGAAGTGCTCGCAGTTCCCCTCAATCAGACTGTACTGCACAATCTTGTTGATCATCTTCTTTGTACGCTGGATGATCCTGTCCACAGGCAGGGGCAGGTATGTCCCATCCAGTTTGTTATTGACCGTCCAAGAGCAGCCATGCAGCACATCCTCCAGACGGCTATATTTTACAACTGCACGATTGCTAAAGACAGAAGTGATGCTGCCAGCCTCAAAGTCCTCACCTGAAAATCAGAGACAAACACAAGTTAAAAAGTCACTAGGAGTGGCAGAGGACAGCACTGGCTCACCCTAACTAGAGGTGGAAAAGATGACGTAAGCCTTTACAAAGAAGCCTTTGGCCCAGAACTGTACTGTCTACTCTCCACCTGACGGGAATCTCTTGTTATTAACTCTTGCAGTGTCTTACAGGGTGACCCTGCACTGGATTACACTGGCCCAGCCAAGTCCTGAGCCTCATCTCATTTTCTAAGGGCCGGGGAGATGGTTCAGTAGGATAAGTGCTTGACTGGCAAATGCAAGGATCAGAGTTCAATCCCCAGTTCCGCCAAAAAAAAAAAAAAAATTCATTTTCTAACAAGAATCCACTAATCTCCACTCCCTACATAGCAGGCAATCCTGTTTGCAATCAGTGGTTCTACAACATGCATCCCTGTGTTGGCACAAATGAGACCCAACATTCAGGACTCTGAATGGTGTCTACTCCCACAAGCAATCACACAGATACCTTTATCTCTACTCAATATAGGAGTTTTCACTAAGGGTCTATTTGAAAATAGGACTCCTTCACTTTGAAAAACAGTGACACTGAAAACCTATTATATTACCATACTTGATAGTTAGAAGAGCCAGAGACTCAGAGAACTTGCCAAAGGCTAGTTAGATGCTCACTTAAAGCCAGTAAGAAGAGAGGATTTTGAATGCTGTCACCAAAAGAAAAGATAAATATTTGAGGTGATGTATATATACAACTATTTACTCCAATGTGATCATTATGTGTTGACTATGTGCCCACTAATCCTCATGTCAACTTCGTTAGATTAAGAAATGCCTACCAGGATTGGGGACTTACCTCAGTGGCCCCCGGACTTGATATTCAGCACTAATAATAATAATGCAAAAGAATGCCTCATGGATTACTAAAGCATGTTTCTGGAGATGCCTGAGTAGTCTGTGGAGATGTAGCTTCAGAAACGACATACACAGCCCTTTGCCCCTGCCCCTCTGGCATGGCTTCCCTGTTCTGCTCTTCGGCTGTCAAGAGCCAAGCAGCTTCGCTCACTAGTCTTCCACCACAATGTTCCTGCCTGGTGCAGGCTGGCCACAGACTGAGTCCTGTGACCACAAGCCAAGTTGAACTTCTCCTCTAAGCTGTGGGTGTTCAGTGTTGTGACCCCCAGCAAGAGGAAAGCTGGTTAACATGGTACATATGTATGGGAAGATCATACTGCAGTCTTAACTAGTATTAGGGTTTGTGTATATATGTCCCCCCAAAGCCTCATTCAATCATTGAGGCACAGTTCTACAGTTTGTGATTAATTCATGATCCAACACTAGGAACACGGGTCTGAGTACTTCTGGGATTATGGGTGTGAGTGCTACACCCAGCCTGGGGCAAATAGCCTGAATGTAACACAGAGAGACAGACATGCCCTCTGTCACCACTGTTGCTGCTCTGGCTCTATCTTGCTCTTACTCTTTGCCACAGCCGTGAAAGGTTGCTCTCTGCTATGTGCCACTCTACCTGGGAGCCAGCTGAGAGGAATTGAAACCTCCAGTAACTGTGAGCTAAATAAACCTTTTCTTCCTTCATTTTGGGTGTCAGGTATTTGTCCCAGCAATGAAAGAATAACTGAGACAAATATCCACCATTATTGTGTCAATTTTTACAAGATTGTTTTTCTTCTATGCAAATATGTGTGCCTCTCTACATAAGTTTTCCAAGACCAAGAAATGTTCCTTGTTCTGATGATTTTCAAGAAAACCTGCTGATTCTAGGCAGGCAACTCAGCAGTACCAGAGATGACAGAAATGGTCTTTAGATGAGCATTTGATGTGGGGTCATAGTAGTTAAAGATATCTTTGGTTTCTCAAGAAGAAAACTCCTGGACTTCGCCTGGAAAGGAGAGGTGCTGATGAATTTTGACAAAAGGGATAAGAGGTAGATGAGGCTCAGAAGACAGATGATAAGAAACTGACTCTGGGCCAGTAGCTAGTGTCACAAGGAAAAGTGGCTGCAGTCCATGGTGGTTGTGCGTGGTTTCTGGGAGCTTTCTGAGCATATGTGACCCACAATCACCACCTTCCTTCCTTTGGTTTCCACAATACCAATGTACCAGGTAAAGCCCTATCGTGGGGGTGGCACACCACTGCATGTAGAGCTTCCTACTTGCATGTACAGGCTCCCCAACGTGCACTGCTGGAGCAGCAGCCCTGCGCCCCATGCAGGCCATATGCAGGAAGCACCAGACCCCTCTCTGCAAGCTCTCGAGTCCCACCAGGATGATATTTTAAAACGTTTATACAAGTTGAAAGCTGCAGTTGATGGTCTCTCCAAGATGATTCACACCCCTGACGCCGATGGAGCTGTAATCAACATCAGCCAAGCAGACGAGCCCAGTGCTCCAACGACCAAAGTGCTGGACTTGAGTTCTGTGCTTGGGGAGGGTTATGGGGCACTGAAAGACACTGTGATCAACGCAAACCCGGCCTCGCCTCCCCTTTCCCTGCCTGTGCTACACAGGATGCTCTGTGAGCATTACAGGGTCCTGTGCACGGTCCACATGTATTCATCTGTCGAGAGCGTGCCTGAGAACCTTCTCAAGTGCTTTGGGGAACAGACTAGAAAACAGGCCCATCATGAGTATCAGCTGGGCTTTACCTTAACTTGTAAGAATGTGCCCAAGACTCAGTTAAAGTTCAGTGCGCAGACGCCGTGCCCCATTGAAGGGGACATTGCACATTTCTTGTTCTCTCTCTTTGGCCAGAAGCACAATCTGTGACCTTAACCCTCATAGATAGCTGGGTAGATATTGCTATTTTCAGTTAAAAGAGAGGAGTAGTAAAGAAAAAGCAGCTGTTTTCCGCTCTATGAACTCTGCTCTGGGGAAGAGCCCATGTCAGGAACGAGCTCACTGTGGCAGATGTGGTGCTCTGGTCTGTGCTCCAGCAGACTGGGGGATGCAGCATGGCAGCACCTGCCAACGTGCAGCGATGGCTGAAGTTCTGTGAAAACCTGGCCCCTTTCAACACTGCCCTCAAGCTGCTTAAGTGAATTCCAGTAACTGGTTCAGTTCTAAGAACAATGTTGCCTCATGCCTACTGTCAATAAAGAGACTTATAAACAGAATCAGTCTTTTATTTAGGCCAGTTGTCAAGTGTCAATAAAATCATATAATTGTGAAAAAAAAAGAAAAGAAACTGACTCTGAACAAGTCCCAGTAAGGGGAAGATTAGGGTCAAAGGTCAGGGCCTTCACTCAAGAAGACAGCTGCAAACAAGCCAGAAGCCTTCAGTGCTATGTCCTCCTTTGATCCCCTCTAGTGAGACATGAAATTCAAACAGCGGCAGAGTAGCTCTCCTTGTTCTGTCCTGTCCTCCAAAGCAGCCATTGAAAAGAGGGGTCTGGGTTTCCAATCTTAGGGGAACTGTCCCACACTCTTTTGTAACCTTCCCCTACTAACACTACCTGCTCCCATCCAATCCCCACCGAAACCATCAGTCATGAGTTCTGTCTGAGCCTGTGTTCATGCCGCCATGAAAAATGAAGTAAGTGTGTGTGCATGAGGCGGCAGCCCTGAGCATGCCAGGGCAGCAGAAAGACGGCAGGGCTGCAGGGGACAGAGGTGACCAGGAAGCCAGGACAGCATTCGGGGACAAAATTAAGTGGCACAGAAGTATTTACCTGCCCCCTACCCTGGGGGTCCCCTCAGAAATGCAAGAGGTCAACAAAAGGTAATTGTTTGTAAATATTATTGTAGTAAGAGACACACTGCCCTGAGTCCCCTCAGAGTACTGCCCCTTGCTTCACACACACTCATCCACCACCCTTTCCCCTTCCTGAAGCAACTCTGGAGGTCCTTTTTCCTCAATGTCTTCATAAGATGGATCAAAAACATGGTGAATGTTGCTGCCAAGTGCCTAAGGAAAGGCAGACTCAAAAACATTACTCCGCATCCTCATCCCCTCATTGGCCAGTTCTGGCACCCTGTGACTTCTGCCTCTCCCCTACAGTCAAAACGACCATAAAAGGGATACCTTGTGAATGGATTCAGGACTTGGAGGCAGGCGTAGCAGCTCAGCTAAAGACACTCTGGAAAGAGGACTGCAGAGCTGCTGCAGAAAACGGTGAGAAAAATGGGATGCGTGTGTTTGACACAAGTGGGGGGATTCTGAGGGAGATTCATGGTAATGTCTTTCACTGTAAAAAACAAAAGATTTTTAATTTAAATATGTATCATATTTTTAAATCACACCTGATATGAAGATTGCTGGCCCACTGTCAACACAAAATGGAGGCGGATGTTCCTAAATTTGTATTTTAAAGCAGAATATAAGGGATTTGGGGAGATGCTCTGCACTGGCAGCACAGTGGCTGCCAGTGCACAGAGACCAAGCTCTGCCACACAGTGAGCGAAGGTTCAGGCAGGCTTCCGGGCACAGCTGAGGGAAACAGTGGTCGACCACGTGCATTCACACTGCTAACTTCAACATCACGATTTCAATGGGGCGTCCACTCTTACTCGGGGGAGCCAGATGGACCACACAGTCATCTTCCACATAGATGGCCCAGTGCTCATAGCCAACTCGGAAAATCTCAATCAGGTCTCCAGGTCTGGGTCTTGCTTTGCCCTATGATGGGGAAAAAAAATATAAACTGTACCTGCCCAAGGACTCCAGAGAGTCTTTGGGGATCAGCTATGAGTACCCTCACTTTGTACAAAGAACCTTAAGCTGGAAAAAAGCTCTCTTCACAAACCAGAACTCCCCTTTCCTGCTGCCACTTATGTATCACCCTGCCCTGAGCATACCGACATGTGCTGTGTGTTAAGGGACTCAGTTCCCTAAGCATTTCTCTTTGGAAGAGGGCATGTTAAACTCCTGGGTAAAGGGTGCAGGAGGGGGAATACATGGGGTTAAAGAGGGAGAATACTAGTCGGGGAGTGGCATACAAATGCCTGGTGAACTCTGCCTCTGCTGGGAACCCTTGACATCATCCTCCTGCACCTTGACCTTGTGATAACCTTTCTGCGACACATTTCACAGGAAGCCAGTCCTACCCTGGCTGCCCAGATCCTCTCTGCCCTCCTCACCATGCCCCCCTGAAGCACCTACCCTAGTACTGGCCATGCTTGTCCCACATACAGCAGCAGTCTGGCCAGCCCAGTGGACCTCTTGGCTCTCAGGGGGCTTCTTCCCAGTGCATGCTGCCTGAGTCCTGTGAGTCAGGCCTGAGGACCCTAGAGGGTGACCTCCTGGTTTAGTATCACTTCATGTTTAATAATTCTTTACACTTCTCTCCTTTAGCACACTGTGTGGTTTTTTTCCTCCAAGTTGGACTGAGATTTCTGATACAGTCTTCCAAAGCTGTAGGACAGTGTTCAGCTAACAAGTATTTGAGGGAAGAGGCAAGGAGCATACACTTGAAGGGATGGGTGTGGAAGTGTGAATGCAATGAGCAGCCGCCTGTTACAAATATTCCCTGCTGTCCTGGGCACTGAGGGTTCCACACAGTCTGGAGAGTACAAGCCTCCTCTCCGGTGAGGCTGAAGCAATGTGAAGACGCCTCAGCCGGTGTGCAGGTGAGCGTGCATGGGGGCACGCATGGCTCGGAGTGAGGTGGAGGATTCATGCGTGGCATATGCATGCTTGTTACACATGTACACGAACATGCAGGTAAGCGTGAACAAGTGTCTGTGGGCCCATAAGCATGATTCTATCAGACACATAACAAGTCCTTGCACTCCCCCTGAGAATTTATTTCTTGGAATAACCAGAACTCTTTCAGCCTACCTACTCCAAGGTGTTAAATAACATAAAATTTCCACCTATGCTCTGATTCTCAGCCTTCTCATGGTTGCCATTTCTCCCTACCTTTGCCTGGGGTGGTGCTGGGAAGAGTCTCTGGGAAGGCAGGCTGGGACACAGAGCTGCCCCTCCACTCACTTCCCAATAGCACTGCTCCTTATCCAGAGTGTGCAGCGATTTTTCTACCACTAGTCTAACTTCTGCAGGGCTATAAATCTCCTCCCAGATCCAGCCCCATTTTCATGGCTAAAGACAGTCATTGACCAGAGCAAGCATTCACAGAAATTTAGCAGATTTGGGGGGTACGGAGGTGTAATGGTCTCTCCATGCAGCTCAGACTCACAGTGATCCTCCTGCCTCAGCCTCCCCAGCGCTGGGATGACAGGCATGCACCATCACACCCAGTTTCAGTGGCTGGCATAGCAAACCTGGGGTTTCAGGGCCAGCACAGCATGTGGTACTTGGGCTCAAACTTGGGTCCTTGCACTTTCCATGCAGGCGCTTAGATTGCTGAGCTGTCCCTAGCCCCAGTTAAGCAGATTTTTATTTGTTTCAAGATTTCTCAGATGTAATATACAATCCCATAAAATCTATACATTTTAACTGTACAATTTGATGGTTTTAGTAATTCACAGTGGTTTTACATCATCGTGATCCAATGTTAAACAGGACCACTGTACCAAACAGATTCCATGCCCATTGTAGTCATTCTACTTCCCACCCTCAGCCTCAGCCACACTCGTACCTTGTGTGGGATGGCACGTCCCTTCATCACCTACCCCCCTCAGCCTCCATCCAGACAATCTCACTTGCCTTCTGTCCCTCTGGACACTTCACATGCACAGACCTGCCACAAGTGGCCTGTGCTTAGTCTCTCTCAGTTGGCACATCTTGGCAGACATGCCATGTGTGGCCTGTTGTAGTTTGGGGTTTTGCAATGAAATAATACAGGACACATATTTCATTAGCTTATTTATGAGTCACCCAAAGAATCGTATACAAATAGAGGGTTCAGGAAATCTGACCACACACTAAAAACCAAAGAATTCTACTGAGAGCCTGGATCCCACAGTAATGTCCTGATGAGTCCAGCTTAGAACCTAGAGCTCACAGAAATGTCTCCCATAGAAATGCCTCCAACTGCATGCCTAGAGCTTGTGACAATGTCTCATGAAGGTCTGTGTCATGGATCTGCACTGGGAAGGCCCAAAGGTCAGTGGTGGAAACTAGAAAGTCTGTGCCGGCGGAATGAAGAATCTGTGCTAGCAGGCTGAGGGATCTGAACTGGAACCAAGAAGCAAGGTTCAAAGTAAGAGCCAGAGCTCCCCCAAAAAGTACCACAGCCATCCTCAGCAACAATGAGGTCCTGAGCTCCAGACAATGGGGAAAGCTGAGTTCCCATCAGGAAAGCCAACATGACAGGCTTCTCCGGGAGACTGAGCAGTGCACCATCTTCCCCTCTGAAGCCAGCAAGTGATGCTTAAAATGAGAATCAGAGCATCCACAAAGTGAGCCACAGCCATTCTCAGTGACAATGAGGTCCCAAGCTCTTCCTCTGATGAGAAGAGCCAAGCATGGCTCTTTTCCTTTATCAGGAAAGCCAGCATGACAAGGTCTTTCAAGAGAACCAACAGTTTCCAACAGTTCCCAACCAACTTCCAAAAAGCTTAGCTGCTTCTACTCCAGTTCTGCCTCTTACACTACTGACAATAATCCACAGGTGGGCCTCCCATAGCCAGCACCATGCTAGTTCAGTCTGGCTGTGTGTGACAAGTTGACCACCAGTTGTCAATCTACCACATGGCCTATGCCCTGGTCTACTTGGTGTGAATTGGCAGGGTCACACCATGTGTGTCCTATGCTCCAGTCTCTCTACTTGACATGTCCTGGCTCCATCATATTGTAGCAGGTACCACACCCCATCATGTATGTGCACTCCAAATGGCTTAAATATTTTTTTTCTTTTTCAATATGCTTGGCTATTCTGGGTCTTCTGCATTTCCTTGTAAATTTTAGGACCACCTTGTCAATTTACACAAAAAACATGCCTACTGATATTTTAAGAGGAATTACATTTAAATGATTAATTTGCTGAAGAGTGCCACTTTCCTATTATAGTTTTCCAATCCACGAACACAGGCTCTTCTTTTTGGGGACGTCTGGGAAGATGGTGGGAGTGGTGTGGAGAAAAGAAACAGCCTCTCCAAGATTTGGTGTCCAGGAATATAGCAGCCTAAGTAAGAGTAGGATAAGGAAAGTGGGTCTCCAGGACCCAGCAAGGCTCTGAAGAATTAAACCCACAAGGAGAACAAAGAGAGAGACTCCAATGAAGAAAGAGATGAAGGTGGCACTTTCTCCCTGAGCCCTGGCTCACTCCATGGGAGGGGCAGCTCAAACCTACCGCTGCATGGTAACTACTGGCAACCTCAGAAGCCACCCTCTCTCTCCAGAGATGTGCACCTGTGGGGCGGTGCTGTGGACTGAGAAGACTGCAGATGCTGGTGAGCTACTCAGGTTCAGATGTCCCCTACGAGAAGGCAGTTAATTAGCCAGAGCCACGTTGGAGAGAGGCCAACTTACCTCAGAACTCCAAACAGCTGCAGGCTACCTGGCAGCTCCCAGTGCTATGGTGAAGCTGCCTAGTTCAGGCCATCAGGAGGTACAGGTTCCAGCCTCATAGCCAGAAACCAGCCTGTACATCAGTGGAATGGAGAGTTCCACTGGGATTACCTATTCCCTCACCATAAAACTGTTGCTGGCTTGCAGGGAGTAATCAGCTCAGATCTGGACTTTGTCTGCTCATGTTCTCTACCAGTGACAACAGAAACACACCTTAAAATGGACATTTTTTTTCTTATTTTCTTATTTTCCTTTTCTTGTCTTTGTTTTCATTTTATGTTTTTTGTTTTTTGTTTTTCTTTCTTTTTTTTTTTTTTAATCCTGTTTTCAGCTTCAACAGTGCTGGGATTACAGATATATGACACTACACAGACTCTAGCCAGCTCAGCCTGCCCAGTGGGCAGGGCTGACATGTGATGCCAGGGATCAAACCACGGTCCCTGCACTTGCCTAAGCAGGTGCTTTAGTCAGCTGAGCTATCTTGCCGGCCCATGTTGTTTTCTCTTGTTTGTTCTTTTCATGTGAGTGTGAACACGATTTTTAGTTTTGCTGTTGTTTTGTTCTGTTCTTGTTATTTTTTCTTCTTTATCTCTTTTCCTCCTGTCTACCAGTTTGCCAAAGTTTGTGCAATCCTCCTTTGTCCTCCAGTCTTATGTCCAATCTCTTTCTCCTCTTGTTTCTCTATTTTTCCCCCAACTCACTTTAAATTTTCTCCCCTGAGGAGCAAATTACCATATTGAGGGCTTATTTACCATAAATAACGTTCTGGCTCATTTTAGATTTTGTTCTATAACTACAAATCTAGTTCATACAGTTAAAGGTGACAAATTAATACAGTTACCACAGTTTGTCATTTTCTAAAACTGTGTTTGATGATATTGTTATTGCTGGTAGTACTACTTTAGCCAAGATGACAGAATTGTTCTGACCCATTGTTCTTCCTGGTATACCAAGACAAAGACTGCCTATAAGTCATAAACAATACGATATGCCAGTGTCAAAGACCCAGGGGCTCGGCCAAGCAGGCAGATGTTGGGATAAGAAGGAGTTAAAATAAAGATATACAGAACGACCTGCAGGGCATGTGCGAAGAGGAATAAAAAAGCAAAACTGCAACAGCAAAGGGAGTAGCCAGGAACACCTGAAACTCCTCAAGGTCATCCTGTTTTTGTGTCTTTGTTCCCAGATGCCTAGCGGCTCTCATG